AGCCTGAGATCAACACCACATGAAGAACTGGAGAGGCTTGCAGGTAAGATCCTAAGATAATATAAGGTTAGGTGCCCTTTCTCCATATTCCTTCAGTAAGGATGTGACAGATAATGCTCTAGGATAGTTGGTTCTCTCACAGTTTAAACTAGACATTCTTTTGGAAACTCGTGGAATAAACAGCTTGAAACTTTTTTACAGATGTTCTTGTCATGCTCCTGATTACTTTCCAGCTGATCTTGGGCAGGGGGTGTGAGGCATAACTTTTCAGTGAAGTATTGCACTTCGTTACCGGTGTATGTTGGTCTTGAGACATTGGGTTGGTAAACTGATGTGGCGGTGCTCCTGGTTTTGCTGTTTCAGGTCTAGAGCAAGCTATTCTGTCCCCTGGCCAGAACTCTGGAAACTACTTTGCTCCCATTCCATTGGAAGACCACTCTGAAAACAAAGTGGACATCCTAGAAATGCTACAGAAAGCCAAAGTGGACTTAAAACCTCTCCTCTCAAGTCTTTCAGCCAACAAGGAAAAGCTTAGAGAGAGCAGTAAGTGCCTCATCAGATACTGTGCAGTTCCTGTGATGCCATATCTCAAGGCAGAAGAGGCTTGGTATTCTGGAAGCCTCCATTGCTGAGTCCAGGAGTAGAAAGTGCTGTAGGTTTATTTGCTTGAGAAAACACAAAGCTCAACAAATCTGTTAGTCATCACTGATTCTCTTCATCCTCACCACAGGATGACATAAGGACTTTATCAGCTCATTCTACTGGTCAGTACTAATCCTAAATTAAGATGATGCAAGATGCCATCTGAGTTTCCAGCTTTCCCTATATTGGAGACTGGTGATGTTCTGAATTTGGAGTCTGAACTATGGCTTTGCCAAAAACTTCAACCATGAGTACAACTGTAAATGTATTTAATGAATCAAAGTGATCTGTTGGGTAGCAGTATCCAAGCAGATGAAAGAGATGGCTTAAGGGTGTCAGGTGTTTCAAATATATGCTGTAGTCTAAAGACTCTTACAATCCCTTGAATCACTGTGCTCTGTGCTTGCTGTTCTGTGGACTATTTAACTAACAAATGTAAGCTATAGCATAGGAACAGTTTTACCTTTATTATCTTTGTTTTAGTTAATTCCATGATCTTGGTCAAGTGAATTAGTTTATAGGTAACTTACTTGGACAAAATTAACTTTGCTGGCATCAACTGCCCTTAAGTCAGTTTGGGGCCACCTGTAAGCTCAAGGGCATCTCCAAATTAGGGATTTGCATGTTTCGGCCCGTAGCATGCATGGACAGTACGAAAATGCATGATGCCTTTGAAATCTGAAGTTTAATTCCACCTTGGTTTCTTTTGGCAAGCAGCATGTGTTGCCATGTGAACTTAAAAGGAGACAAAAGAAAAGGAAAGCTACTTCACAATTTCTCTGCGGGAAGAGGAAATCATCCAAGAACTGTCAATATTCTTAAGCATCCAGTTTGGGAGTAGGATGTACCTGGTTAATCTGGAAATATGTTCCTCAATTTGACTTAGAGCTGCAAGTTAGTCCAGCTTTCCTACCAAAAGCTTTCTAAATTTTGATCATCACAAATCAAGAATAAAGGAATAAAAAAGTGGAAAAGTTTCTATTGCTCCAAAGCACCTACTGTTGGTTCCACATTCTCATGAAATGCTGTGTGATTCTTGAAATGTTGTGGCATTCTCAGGTCAGGTTCTCTCCTCCAGCATCATACTTTCTCATATTCCATAGTGCATGTCTGAATCATTGTTTCTCTTTTCACATTCTTGTCCAGATTTCCAGTAAATCTTATTTTCTTTGAGCCAATATCTGTTAGAGCAACCCATGGCATGTTCCTATCTTTCTTTTTGCTTAAGGTATCATACTTTGATATGTGTAAATTGGTCTGCAAAGCACATCTAGCCTTGATGCTAAGCTTAGATATGTAAGGGAGGAAGAATTACTCTTTTCATGCTTGTACCTTTTATTGTGGTTATGCCGATGAAATTTCTCTATAATGGCTTTAATTTCTGAAGAAAAAATAATCTACCTGAAACTTTGTGCACCAAGTGTGCAACTGAGTCTCTAAAATATCTAGACTTTTCAGGTGTGTATTCTCTCTACCTGTGGTGACTTCAGACAATCTGTCATCACTCAGACTGGCTGTAAGACAGTCTGGTTTCCTGAAATATAAGATAATGGAACTCTTTCCTAATTGGAACTCAACAAGCTTGGTGATTGAGAGGAACAGTGTCTGTTAAGCAGATGAAATCCTAATATGTTAGCAAATGTAGAACAAAATCCTTCATAGGATAAGGGAGAGCCAATGAGAAATCATCAGTTGAAACAGCTTGTTGGGGGTCTTGCATGTCTGTAGCTGGGTATAGCAATATTTCTAATCTGCCTATTATTATGCCAGTGACTACTGTCTAGACATGGCTTGACAGCTAGTATGAATATAAGGAGATGAACTCTTTGAAACAGGATAAAAAGTTCTTCAGATTCTGCAGAAGAATCAGCTCACTTGTAGCAGAGCACTTTAAGTTAACAGTATTTCTTCTGTGTTTCTTAGCACATTCAGGAGTAGTACTTTCAGTGGAAGAAGTAGAAGCTGGACTAAAAGGACTGAAAATGGATCAAGAGGGAAAAATTGCTACTCCATTTATGGCAGAGCAAATGGAGGAAGCACTGAATGTAGCTGGCTCCAGACAGATCAAGAAGGATGGAGATATGACAGCATTTAATAAACTAGTAAGCAGCATGAAGGCCAGTGGGACCTTGCCTTCACAGCCCAAAGTCAATGTAAGTAACTGACACCTGGCTCTTCTGAACTACAAGTGGATCTGTCCTAAAATGCAGAATGCAAACTGAAACATCCTACATGTACCCACTCAAGCCCTACATTTTGGTGCAACAAGAGCATGCTAGTAAATATTCTGTCATTAAAAACACTGTTACTTGAAGAGGGGAGAAAGGGAGGTAGTTGGGACACTTTCTCCAGGCAGGGCAATTAGTTTTTTTTTTCAGTTTTGAGGTCACAGGTTTGACTTAGGCCAAGTTTCTGAAAGTCACAGAACTCTAGTACTATGTGAGAAGTCTGATTGCCTCTTTTAAAGCAGATGTATGTGAGTACTTAATCCAGCTGCTTAACAACTGAACTTGAAGGCTATATATTTGCTGAAAGGAGGATCTGGGAAAGTCTGAATTTTGTACTATGGAGGTATATTTTGAATACTCTCTTGAATGCTTGGTGTCATTTTATATATAAAATAGGTATATTAAAGAGCTGTTTACTATATCTTACTAGAGTCATCACTCCAGTCCTTACAGAAGACCTGTTAGTGCTAGTTCAGTTATTGCCTTGCTAACTTTAAGACAACTCTATTATAGCAGTTTTGTATACAACACCTATTAGAAGCTAAATATCTTGCTTTAATGGATTTAAATATTTTTTTCAGTACAAACTAATGCTTTAAGGACTTGAAAATGATTTGTACTAAAATAAATTAAACCAAATGCTTAGATGTTGAGGCAGAGTAGCTTTTTATGCCTACTGTGTTCTGTCTTTGATGGGAACTAATGGGTAGTTTTATATGAGACTGAGTTGTCTCCTGCAGTTGGAGTCTCATGCAGTGGGAAGTTAGGAAAGCCTGCACTGTATGATCACAAAATGGCCCATATGGTTTAGAGCATTTGTTGTAGGTTTGACAGTAATGCAGCTTTATTGCATTGGCTTGTGCTAAATACTTAGCCGGATGTTGATTGTCTTATCAATACTTAGTGGTTAGTGTGGTGTTTTTTGTCTGTGTTTTTTTTTAACAGAGCCTTGAAAGCCACTTGATGTCACCTCCAGAGATGACAGGCCAGCCTCTATCAAAAAATATTCTACAGGTATTTATCATTGGATGCACTTTTAAGTACTTTTTTCAGTAGGAAATTCAAAACATTACTTGTAAACAGAATATTTGAAGCAGTTAGTTTCAAGCAGATTAATTGTGAACTGAATTAAAGCAGATTAGTAGTCAGATTTCTTTTCCTATAGAGGGAAGAAAGCTGCTCGTGAAACTTAACTGTAGGTAACTTAGTTTACTTTAAAATTGAGTCTTGTGATGGTGTTTCCCATGATTACAATTTGAAAGACCTGGCTAGATGCCTGTTTCTGAGGGCAATCCAGAATTAGTATATCCAGTTACAGAAGTCAGCCTTGTCTGTTTAACTTGCTATAAATAACCTGTAGTCTAGTAAAATGAGCTCCTTTGTATACGCTGATCATATTCTGAACATTTTTTAATTATTATTCCTTAATCTTAGGAACTTCTTGGTCCACCTATTACCAGACCTGCTTCATCAAATGTCTTAAGTGGCCTGATAGGTGGCTTGGAACCTGCAGCATCTCTACTGGGACAGAGAGCACCTTCTCCTCCTCTTCCACAGGTGTTCCCAACTCGAGCTGCCTCTGCAGACTACCTGCGTCATCAGATATCTTCACCCCTTGGTGAGACTGTAGACCACAGTGTGCTTTTTAGTGGAAGACAGTTCGGGTTTAGGTGTTGTAAAGACTACTTGGCAGTACAGTAAAAGTTAACTGGCACCTGGCTGGCAGCTAAGTGGGCGCCTGCCTCTTGAATGCATACGCAAGGTGATCCTGCTTTTCTTACTCTTCTGATGGTAGTCAGTGATAGGCTGAGAATCTTCATGTATGTACTGAAAACTGATGCTTTTGAGTAATTTTTGAATGTTTTTCATCAGGTTTTGGACAAGGTTCTCAGCAACTGCTTGGTGATCCATTTCCAAGTGTAAGGAAGCCCATGAGCCCAGTTGCTCCACAGGTTAGACTACGTGTTGTTTGGTTAATGTGTATTCATCTTCTCATGTTGGGGGGCATAGAGTTAACTTGGAGAAATGCACAACCTGTCTGTTGATTTCAGATGCTTTTGCTCTGGTCAGGTTTGTCTCAAGTGTGAGGATGCAAAGTATAAATACCCCAAATCTTGCTGCTATTAGCTATCATTCCTATCATAGAGTATGTTAACTATAACAACTTGAAAACTTCTCTCAAAATGATGAATTGTTGTTGTTGGGCAGACACTTTGTGAAGATAGTAGCTATAACAGTGAATCCTCAGTATATTTGAAATACACAAGCTTTATTTTGACTGTTATGACTTTCAGATGAGTCCCTTGGAGATACAGCAGGCTGCATTAGAAGGGCTAGCGTTACCTCATGACTTAGCCCTACAGGCAGCAAACTTCTACCAGCATGGCTTTGGTAAGCCACAAATGGACAAGAGCAGAGATGGCTACAGAAACAGGTAAATGACTGTGAGATCTTTAAGGGGGCCATTATTAACTGATGATGCTTGTGTGTGTTTTGGGTTTTTTAACCATTGGATATTAGTACTATAGATTCAAGCTTGTTGAGAGCCTCTCACTAACCTTCCTGTCCATTAACAGGCAGCAGCGAGTGACTAAATCGCCTGCACCAGGACACAGAGGCAATGCATCTTCTCCAGCCCCTGCAGCATCCATTACTAGCATGGTTAGTACCTAAGGGGTAGTAATGGGATGAGCTGCAAAGCTGTCTGCAGAAACTAGTTTGCATGGGGAAGCCAAGGGATGTAAGGTTAATCACAGCAATGGCAATGGTATGATGCAAGAATGAGTTAACTGCCTTCGCTTTGGACAACAAGCTTTACTGGCTACTTTTTTGTTTAAAAACTAAAGCCCTGTTAATGGTGCTTGGATCTGATCATCTTGAAACCAAAGTAATAGAGTTAGGAGAACTCATACCCCTCATGCTTTGATATTTAAATTTGAGATGAGTGGTAAGAGTCGTTAGCCACTTAAGAAAACTCTGGTCTTTGGCACAGGTATTAATAGGCTACTTCAGAGCTTCAGGGTCACTTGATCAGTAGAATCTCTAAGTCAAGCTGTTGCCACTGCTTTCACTAGTATGTGAAATGTGGCTTTCATCTAAACTTTCCCATTAATCAGTCAATACTTGCTGGTCATCAATGCTAAATCAGACATAATACTTGAGTTTTTGTAACAAATTCATGGCTTCTGCAGATCCCATGTAACTCTTAATGGGAATAATACTAATGAGGCTGTTGTTTTTATGCACATCTGACAACCTTGAACTGATCTAAGACAGGGGTTGTGGTGGAACTGTTCTGGGCCAATAACTAACTGCAAACCACTATCTTAAGTACAATACAATCTTATCCATATTGTTTTAAGCCTCTGAAGATGTTTTTAATTCTGAGAACATGTACTGTTTAATGAAAGTATTGGAGTTCTGCAAAGCTGGATCAAGAGAAGTGTTTAAACTATAGCATGAAACTATAAAATGAGGTGAAGTGAAAGCAGAGGACATGAAAGGCACAATGCGAAGAGCTTTAAATGAAAGTGTGTGTTAGAATTGATGTCAGTCCACACTAAGCTGGTGCCTTGGTGATTGGTGCTCAGTTAAGGCCTTGTTCTTATGTTCTGCAGCTGTCTCCTTCCTTTACGCCTACCTCAGTGATTCGCAAGATGTATGAGAGCAAGGAAAAAAGTAAAGAGGAGCCAATTTCTGGGAAACTGAAAGTCAGTGATGTTAAAGATGAAAATCAGAGGCCAAATGAAGGTATTGTAATGGCTTAAAGTAACACACACAATGAGATTTGAAATAGGACTGAAGAGCTTCAACACCTGTTATGCCTGAGTTAAGTTTGCAACTGTTGGAGGTGGTGAAAAGGGGGGCTTGCAACAAGAAGAAGCTTAGAGACTATGGAGGAATTGAGGGGTTGCATTTCCAACTGCATTTTTCAGTAATGCTGGGTTTAAATCTGTCTCTTAAGTGAGAGTTTGTCAGGTGGAGCATCAATGAGGGCCTGGCCTTGGACCCAAACTGTTTCTTTGCAACTGGTCTTGATGAACACTGTATTAGAATAATGCTTCTGTAACTGAATGCAAGCAAATTAGAGCTCTATTGAGACATTGTAACCAAACAATCCAAGCTGAGACCAATTGTGCTCTTAAATATAGCACATCAAGGAAGACTAGTCACCTGCACTGATCTAAGTGGCTATTGGAAGGAAGTACTCAATACCAGTTGCCTGACCCAATAAGACTAATGTGCTCAGTTGCCATAATACTGCACTTAATTCTGCTACCCACAGATGCAGCTTGTTGTTCCTATTGTTCCACTGACTCTTTCCTTCTAATACTCCATAACCTCAACTGGTAGCAGACATTCTAAGATACTTCAGGCTTTGTCTAACTGATCTAGACAGTCTGTGGCTGTAGATGCTTGAGGTGCTCTAGTGTCCCAAATGCTACTGAGCAGAGGACTGCCTCTAACCTGAGACACATCTGCACCAAAGAGGAACAGGAATGGCTAGATTTTTGGCCAAACTCTAGCTCCAAATTGCAGCTTCCTCTAGGGAGGCTCCCTTGTACTGCTTGTCTCCTTTGAGACTGATTCATCCATGCTGCTAGCTAAAAATTTAAGTATGAGGAAACATAAGACTTGGAATTATTGCTGTTTCTGACTTCAGCTTGAAATGAAGTAGTTTCACTGAAGTTTCATTCTCATTATTATGTCTGGAGCTTATTTGGCTAAAAGCATTTGGGGAAGAAGAAAGCTTACCACTTTCTATATCTGACTAAAACTTTAGCTATTTCTGGAATCTAGCTATCAAATCCAGTCATTAACTTTAACTTCTTATTAGATGTAATCTCTAGCTGTGAACTATAATAGTTGTATTCAATTCTAGCTACAGATAACCTACTGTCTAGTTCTGTGGAGAATGCAGATCAAGGAACTTTACCCACCTTAGGTACCAAACTACCTGCACTGCAACGCTCTGCATGTTCCACACCTCTTACTCAAGCAAATCGTTGCACCAAAGAGCAAGACTACAGGCCTAAATCAACTGGTAGAAAGACTCCTACAATGGCCTCCCCAGTACCAGGAGGCCCTTTTCTCCGTCCTGTTCATCAAGTACCCCTTGTTCCCCACGTACCAATTGTACGACCTGCTCATCAACTGCATCCAGGATTGGTCCAGAGAATGCTGGCCCAGGGGGTTCATCCACAACATCTTCCTCTGCTGCAAGCAGGTAATGCCTTAACTTAAGGGAAAATGTCTGAATGTTGCAGACTTATTTTGCATTAGAAATGGTACAGTTCTACAAGACTTATTTTGCATTAGAAATGGTACAAATTGATACTCATTACTGACAATATTTATTACATCAGAACTTAACCTGTAAAACAAGGCAATATATTCCAACACACATTACTATGTAAATGCTTGTTTTCCTTAAAGCTTTTCATGCCTGCTAGGCTAAAAAGCTTTTTTACTTTTGTCCAGCAGGTATGCTTCCTCCTGGAGTGGACCTTTCTCACTTGCAGGGAATATCTACTCCCATCCTTGGCCAACCTTTTTATCCACTACCAACAGCTAGCCATCACATCTTAAACCCACGCTCTGGGACACCTTTGCAACTAGCAATGATGCAACAGCAATTACAGCGTTCAGGTAGGCTAAAATGTAAAACAGCAGTGTCAGCATCTTCAAACCTCACTAACCTGCTCCAGGTAGTATCCTCATTGGCTTGTTTCAGTAGACTAACAGGAAACTACTTCAGTACCCACACAAAACTAGTGCCTATCAATGTGTAAAATAGTTCTGACCAGTGCAGGTCTTCATGCTAGAAGAAAACTGAAGTGAGGCAGTTTCACGATGTATCTTGCTATGAGGCATCTGCTTTCTGCAGTGCTGTGAATAGTAGTCTCTTGGGTGAACAGCACTCTTCTGCTGGTGGAGTAAAGCTCACTAGCACCCATATTGAATAAAAGATTCTCTGATGCTGGTCTTCCAATTAAAACCAACATAATGCTCTGTCTGGCATCAGCAATGTCAGACAGAATTTACAGGAATAACAAGAACAAATATGTGGCAATCAATGCGGAGTCTGAATTTCCCAGGACCAGTGGTGCTATTGCCACATTCAGCTTGCGTATGATTGTGTGTATCCTGTGACTGCTTAGGACAAATTTGTGCTCTTGGGTGAACTTATGACTCCAGCTCTAATAGCTTTACATTTCACAGGCACTGGAGCACAGGGATCACCTGCTGGTGTGCAAACCACCCCCCAAAATGTGCCGTCTCGGACTGGATTATCTCATGGGCACACACAGCTCGACCATCGCCCCAGCCAGAGAAGTGGCTCTCCCATTGGCCTTGCAAAGTGGTTTGGTTCAGATGTCTTGCAGCAGCCTCTCCCCTCCATGCCATCCAAAGTCATCAGTGTTGATGAACTGGAGTATCGGCAGTGAGCAGTGACCGCTGGGTGGGACACTTGTGCTTCTTTAGACTGGATAAAAATGTCCATAGTCAGGACTTCACCTCTGTTTGTTTTTTGGGGCTTTTATTTTTAGCACTCTGTGCAAAATTTCTTTTCAAGAAACTAAAGCACATGGCACCTGTCCTGGTCTCATGTCTGCATCAAGACTAAAGGATCCATTATGGCTTAAATAGTGAAGCCTGAAGAAATTTAGATGCAAGACAAAGCCAGTTTAATCCTGGAAGTGTCTATTTTTTGTTTTTGTAAGATATGTGAATGAAGTGCTGATATTCTCTAGTGTAGAGGTAGCAGCTATGGATTCCTCCTGCAGAAAACTAAATGTATAGACCCTTGTGTACAGACTATGTATAAACAATCTTTTGTATATATACACATAGAATAGCTTTTTTTGAATCTATACAGCTGTACATAAGAGTAGCTGATACCAGTTGAGCTTTAGTTGTGCCTATGGTTTGGATCTTTCTCCATTGTACATGTGGGACTTTCTTTAAGATTAAAATTGCATATCCTAAGTGTGAGTGAACAGGATAAAGTTGCTTTGCTTTTTCTTGCTGCTCATTTCCTGAGTCTCCCTCTCAAACAGATCCTTCTGTGATATACTGTGCATTCAGTGTAGCTGAGGTGTTGAAAAGCCCACATCTTGCTGTCTGTGTAACAAAGGTCTGATTCCTTGTGTGTGTGACTCTTGCCATCAAATTAAAGAACTGTTTAGTCTTCAAACTGCCTTGAGGATGGGACCTGGTACAGTAATGACAAAGCTGCTACTTGTTTGCCATAAGCAAAGAGACTGTAGGTACCTGTTTGGTCACAGTTCTTTCAAGGGGGCTGGTGCTGGCCCTTGTTGGGCTGCAGTATTTTCCTTGTTTTAATCTTTCAAGCAAGTTGCTAAAGGTTGTCAAAATGGAGCCTTGAAATCCTCACCCTTGAACTCCTCTGCCATAGCTGTGGTATGTTCTATACTGCCCTCAGTTCTATTTATAGAAAGGAGTCCCAAGAACAGTCCTACATCTAGGGTGCATCTCCTTGATGCAATTACTGTGAAACTTGCCTTGGGAGTCTTGTTCTGTGGCTTGAAAGGGGGAGGAGGGGGTAGTTTTGTGATCTTACTGTGTATATTTGGTTTTTAAATACTATGTTCCTTTTAAGCCTGTTTCACTTTCCTGAACAGTTAAGTGTTCTTTTCATCCTCCTGCATGGTTCCTCACTTCACCTTCTCACTTGTGTTGAGTCTAGTACTGCTGTCATGTCTTCTAGCTTAGAAGCTTGTGCTCTTTTTTAAAAAAAAAGGTGAAAGCAAAACCAGAATTCTCACAAACTTGCTCTTTCTTCAGTCTCACTGAATGCAAAACCAGCAGCAGAAAAATCACTTGACTGTATTATAACAATTGCCAGCATGCTGTGGTGGGTTTGTGTCAGTCTAGCAGACAACAGCATACAGAAACAGCAAGTTAAAAGCTCCAGTGTGGAGGCTGTTGGGAGTCACCCATACTTCTAGTGGTTGTTCATGCAGCAATCTCTGTAAAACATGCAATCACCAGCTTGTCCTTGTAAGATTGTTTTCATACTTTTTTAACTTGACACTTTCCCAGTAACATTCTGTAAATAAAGTCAATTCTACCAGCTCTCTGTATCAACTGCTCTTATAAATTTTATTTGGATAGAATAATTGTCACCATAGTACAGCCCTGTAAGCTCTAGGAAAAGGTTTCCAGGGGAGTAGGTCCTGCTCCCTGGAGTGCTGTAGTGTGTAGCTTATGCTGATCTGCTGTTTATCTGCTTCACAGGAGCTAACTCACCTCCTGAGGACAGGCCCAGGAACTGCAACTCGCCCTCTAACAGGTGTTGTAGCTTTGAACTAAAGGCTGCTTTTGGATGGCTACTCCTAAGTACAGAGAAGGATGGAGTTGTCTACCAGACACACTTTTAATAAGAAAAGTGAGCTCTAGGGCCTGTGCTGGATTTTCCCTTCACTATATCTAGTAAGTAGCTGTCTCATAGGACTGTAGGTGGGAAATAGATTATTTATTCTAAAAAATACATTATTTCATTTAGACTCTACTACATAATCAGGCTTGAAAGCTTACTTTGTTAACTTGCCACCAAATGACTTAAATTTCAGCATTGAAAGAGCTGTAGTTACTGCTCTTAGTTAGTAAAGTCAGAGGAGACATCTGTCAAAGTCTTCCTTTTCTAGGAGCAAAGTACCAGAGGCTAAAGAATGTGAACAGAAAGCCCATCTCTACTCTGTTTTAAGAGCAATAGAAGAGCCTGTTTTTTACTGAGCAAGTAATTTCAGAGAAGTCAGTTAAGCAGGTTTTGGGGGTTTTTAAAGAAAGCTTAGGGCATAGAATCCCCATCCAGGCATCTACTTTACTTCCCCTCTTATAAACAACATTACTACTTACACAGAGCAGAACTATTACTCACTTGTATGTATTCATACAGGACCATGGCCCTTTAAAGCAGTTGAAACTTTCCCCAAGAATTCTCTTCTAGGATACTGTTGTCTGGCTTCTGTTTTCATTATTTAGTTCAGCTCTCCCCAATTTTCTAATTTGGAAAAAGGTACATATACAGGCAGCAAAATATCATCATACCTATTAAAGCCTCCCTAGAGCATTTTGCCTTTGCCAGAATTATTTACCAAGTTTTTCCTATGTAAATTCTGCTGCAAGGGGATATGAGAGTACATATTGGCCAAAAAACATATTTTCCATGCAGTAAATTACTACCCTAAAAAGCACTATTCCCTTGTTAAACGTTTGATTAAAAGAAGTGGCCTATTTTTTGCCACTTACAACTTAACGATGAAGTCAGGTACACGGGCAAGTATTTGTGAGAGCCACTTTATTTCTTCACAATTTGAATGACATCCTCATCCTCAAGAGTGTGATCCTTGCCAACTTTCTGAGGGTTGTGTTTAACAGATGAACCCCAGACCAATGCACTGAAAGGGGAGAAAAAAAAAAGTTAAAAAGGCTACAGAGTTTAGTAAACAGACAGCTATTTATATTACAAACCTAATAAAGACAGCAATGCTTAAGAGCTATTTTTGTTGCTGAACAAGTACCTGGATGAGTGCTCTGTGTGAACTAGAGCATAAACAGATCAAAACAAAGTATGAAGTCATTCAAAAATACTTGTATGCAGAGGACATGGCCCATAGTACTGCACCCAAGGTTACTTTGAAGTTTAAAGAAAAATGTTTCACATGTGGAGGAAACTGGATCAGTAAAGAGTATAGAAACATTAAATATAATAATTTAAGTATCATGTTTACATTTTCATGGGGAGGTCTTTTCTACTCAACATCAAAACTGAATCCTGTTTTCCCTTCTAGCTTCCAGGAGAGCAAGAACATACCAACATGTGGATTACTTCCTGTACTCTAAATAGGAGTCTTTGATGTTAGTACTTACTATTTAAAGTCTTTAATGAGATTTTTGTGGATCTTCATGCAAAAATCCTCTACAGTAGTCTTGCAGTAAGGTAGCACTACAGGAGAGGTATAGTCTGGAAGCTGTCCTTTAGGTTTGGTGTAGCTGTAACACAGGTGGAGCAGTTATCACTAAGAGAACCTTCTGTTCTTTTTAAACCCACCATGAAGTTTCATTGGTTATTTTCACTACCCCACTAATGCTTGTACCAAGTTGCACAATTTTAGTGGTGACAGGTATCCTGTTTGCTGCTCTTAAGCTGAAAATAGAGCTGAGTAGCAATACTCGCTGCAGCAGATTTTCCCTTGCAAAGATTTATCCATGCTAGACTTTCTGTTGCTTCTTGAAGGAACAGAAGAGGAAATAGGAGTAGCTGATGAAAAGAACAGCTACAGCTTTACAGTTCCAACTCTGTGAAATGCTGAACTCACCTACACAAGGGAAAAACTGACAAAATCCCAGGTACCAAAAATGCTAAATCTCCTTTACAGTTTATTTTATTTTACATTATGTTGTTAAAAGCAGCATACAAATTTTAAAAATAACTGTGCTGTAAATATTATTTCATTTTTATGCATTTGGACCTTCTTATGGCTATGCGGTAAGCCTGTTCATAGTAAAATAAGTGAAATGCTAGATGAAAGCCTTAATTCAGTGCTATTAAGAGAACTGAATGCATAATGTCACCTGTGACAGAGTAAAAACATGACTACCTCTGGAATTCACATCTTTGCACTAAATTTGACTAGAGACCTTTTTAAAAATAAACAAATTTATCTAACAATCCTAATTCACCCCTTCTTGAGTCTCAGCCTTACATCTAACACCACAGAAGGCAACAGTTGGGACTCACATTCGTACTAGCTTCAAGTAGTCCCAAATCTTCTCTAGCAAATCGTCAAAGTTCCAGCGATGATGAGCAGATATCGGTACGCAATGAGGTACCTTGTAAATGATATCTAGTTCCTCGATGGAAATCTGGTCAATTTTATTCAGGACATAAATGCATGGGATGTAAACCCTGCAAAGAGAAGGAAAGAGCGAGTCAGCAGCCTAACAGCAATGTACGGCTATTTTCACTGAAAAAGAACAGCATGATTTTGGAAAAGGACATTAGGGTGCTAAATAGCACTTGCTGATAGCACATTACTACTTTGTGTCTGTGGGAAGCACACTTGAGAGGGCAATCTCTTCCTTGTAACCTAAACTGCATGTAAGGCAAGTGTCCCAAGAGTACCTGTTTCCTTCAACAACGTCAATGAGGTCGTCGGCAGTGGCGTCGCTGCGCAGCGTCACGTCGGCGTTGTGAATTTTATACTCCGCCAAGATGCTCTTCACTGTTTCGGTATCCAGCTCGCTCTGAGGACACTGAACGAACATGCAGCGTTAAGCAAGGTATCGTGGAGCCTACATCAAATCAAGTGTTACTATCACCCACCAATTACTGCAGATATGTTACTAGATGTAATATCTACCAATTACTGTACATATGTTACTGGAAATACTAGCTGCACTGTAAGTTATTGCATTTGATTATGGTTTTGCTATAGTTAGTCTGTAGAGAAGGAAAAGAGATTTAAGTCACAACTTTTCTTCACATCAGCAGTTTGCAGCCGTCGATGGTGTTATCTCAAAAGTAAAGTTTCCAGTCATTTTGGGACTACTTTCTATAGAAAATTCCTTATGTCCTAGTTCAGTACCAAGACAACTAAATATTTGATATCTATGCCTATCTCAATGAATATTTAATGGAAAATGAAGTATCGTCCAGGAAAGTAGCTGATTACAGCACACTGCAGCGGTTCAGAAGTCACAGCATAGGAATGGGCTAAAATACCATTCACTGCAAAAGCATCTTTCTACAAAGAAAATTTCCAACTTACCGTGGCTGTAAGGTTAATGCCACCTTTATCCTTTTTTTTGAAGCCAATATTGGGGGGCTTACTATTCAGACGTATCCCAAATCCCTCCAGTTCATTCTCAATAATTTTCTTGTGCCCAAGGGGTTTCAATACATCCAGAACAATTAGAATGAGGTTACAGGTTCGAGCAACTAAGAATCAGAAAAAGAAAACCACCCCTCAAAAAACTACACTCATGCACCAAGATAAAACAGCACCAAAGGTGGCTCCGTGGCTTGACAAGAACATTAAACTCATAAAGGCCAGTACTGTTTTGTATTTTTTAATTTCAAAGTAAGACTGAACTTGTTCAAGCATCACTGACTTGTACATGATGCAAGAATCAGGCACACTGAAAAAAGTTTTTTTCCTGGCTATGTTCAGATACCAAAAACATAACAGTAAACTTGGTAAAAAAAATTAAAACAGCACCCTTGTTTAATATGAGGTCATATCTACCTTTAAAATTAGTAATAGATTTTCAGTGCAGTGTCAACGCACAGCACAAACTCATCAAATGCATAAAACCATAACTGAAAACAGAGCAAACTGAAAACAGCTACTGCAAAGCAACCAAGCCACAATAAATCATCATTTCCAAGATATCAGAACTCATGATTCAACCATGAATTTTCATAAGCTGTGCTAGCTTAACCGGTAACAGGATGTTGTCTGGTGCTTTCTCCAAGGCCTGACACTCACCTGCAATGACTTGCCGTCCTCTGCCTTTCCCATCCTTGGCGCCTTCGATTATTCCTGGGAGATCAAGAAGCTATTTTTCAGAGGAAAGAAAGTAACCCATGAGGAAAATATTTCTCTTCAAGGAGAAAATAAAGCCCATTTTTACCTTTCTCCTAAAGCAGTTCAGTGCAGTTCTGCACAGAATGTAGCAGAACCATTTCCCCATGGATGTAAGAACACTATTATCCCCAATCCCCCACTGCTACAGTGGAACAGAACAGCGTTAAACAAAACAAGAGAGCTACTACAAGAACTTCTCCCCAGAGCAATGTGAAAAAAGGTTAAAATCAGCACCTCATGGGAGTATCTCCAACATGTTTTCAAGTGCTTCTGTTTATTGCTTATAATCTGCTAATGTTAAATCTTACTAAGCAGGCAAAACATGGCTGTGTCCACACATACCCTTGTATACAGACACAAGACCTCACCTGTATTTTCGCTCCCTTGTACCTAATGACCCCGGGCACGGTTGTCAGCGTCGTGAATTCATACGCTGCCACTTCAGAGTACACGCCAGCGAGATTACTTAAAAGAGTAGACT